ACTTGCTCAGGATTTCTGGCACTTGATAAGCTATGTATGAGCAAGATTTCTGGTTGAGGTATTGAGATAGATGAATTTATAGATGTTATTTCTATTTCAGGTGGTTGAGGATATATCCGGCCATTTACAATATCATCATATCTTTCACTACCAATTTTATAATTATCACATATAATGCATTTTCTATTTGGTATCTGTTTTGCATGAGCATTCCTTATTTTTTTGATTGCTTCAGGAGTTAATGGAGTAGCAGTGGGGTTAAGATATTGTCGAACTCGAGATCTAACTTTGGTTTTAACCATTTTAGAAAAATATATATTTAAATCTAGAAAAATATCCATTCATTTCTAGTATGTAATTGAATAAAAACTGAGTAATAATCAGGTAATAATCAGACACAAATCAGACAAAAACCGAGAAATAATTAATACTGACTTGATTATAGATCTATTTTCATATAAAACTGGTTAATTATTATTTTATGCCTAGCTAAGTATCAATTTTTGCCTAGCTAATTACTAACTTCCGCCTAATTATTGTCTGATTAAATACCAATTATTATTTGGGTTCCTTTTTATTCATAACCAGTAAAAAGTCAAATTGCGATTAGTTTTTTTTCTTTGAACATAATTCTCTTTGATTATATGGCACCAATACGTACTTTGTATAGTGAATTTACTGATGCCAAAAATTTTCAAGGATGTGGATATAAATTAGATAGTAGTAGAGAACATGAACTTGAATCTCAATGCATTGAGTTGTTTTTTAATCAAGTCATTTTGATTTTTGTCATTAATGTACCGATTTAATTTTTTCTGAAGATGTAAAATCTTGTCATTTTTTTTCTCTAGCTCTTTAGTAATTATATCAGATTGCGTTTCTGCAAAAGCTTTAGCATTTCTAAATTCAGAACATTTATTAGCAAAAAATTCAGTTTCAAAAAGCAACTCATTGCATTGAGATTCAAGTTCATGTTCTCTACTACTATCTAATTTATATCCACATCCTTGAAAATTTTTGGCATCAGTAAATTCACTATACAAAGTACGTATTGGTGCCATATAATCAAAGAGAATTATGTTCAAAGAAAAAAAA